GTCTATGCCTAGTTTCTACCATACTATTTTCCAGTTTTTCCAGCATTTTTTGTCAAATAGTGAATTCTTACCCCAGAAGCTGAAGTCTTTGGGTTTATCAAAAACAGTACCTAACCAGTGTCTTGTGTACCTAACCTATTCCACTGATCCACTACTCTATTTCTTAGCCAGTACCAAGTAGTTTTGATGATTGCTGCTTATTAAAAGGTTATTTAAAAAAGAATACCATCTCATGCTCCAAAATATTATGGAGATCCTAAGGTACCATCAGGACAAAGACCATACATACACTGTTGGTTAAAGGAAGAGTGGAATAGCTGAAGATTTTCCCAATAATAGTTAATGAGATAGACAGTTAGTAAGTTTTCTGTCTGCCTGAGTATGGTTTACTACTCTGATTCATGACAACATCATCAGCAATAAACTAGGAAGCATTGCTAGGGATTATGAGATCAAACCCCATCTCTGCTATTTACTAGGTGACAGTAGGTAAGTCACCTCATCTCTCTTCCAACCTTAGTTTCCTCATCTGTATAATAAGAGGATTAGACTAGATAATCTATAAAGGTCCCTTGCAGCTCTAAATTCTCATATGTTGGAAAAGAAGTTAAAAACCGTAGGATCAGTGGTGGTATTTTCATTGCCAGTGCTGAAGGAGTCAGATATCAGAGCCTCAGGAAACAAAACATATCCAAGAGCTGGATAAGAACATATTGCCTGGGAGGAAGATTTGTATTTTTAAAAAATTTATTTATTTTTAGTTTTCAACATTCACTTTTATAAGATTTTGAGTTCTAAATTTTTTCCTTCTCCCTCCCCTCCCCAAGATGGCATGCAATCTGATATAGGCTATATATGTACAATCATATTAAGCATATTTCCACATTAATGATGTTGTGAAAGAAGAATCAGAGCAAAAGGGGAAAACCACAAGAAAGGGGAAAAAAAGAGAAAATAGTATGCTTTGATCTGCATTCAGACTCCATAGTTCTTTCTCTGGATGTGAACAGCATTTTCCGTCATGAGTCTTTTGGAATTGTCTTAGATCAGTGCATTGCTGAGAAGAGCCAAGTTTATCAAAGTTGGTCATCACACAATGTTACTGTTACTGTTTACGATGTTCTCCTGATTCTGCTCACTTCACTAGGATTTGTATTTTTTTAACCAAGGCTTAAGATAGAAAAATTATGAGCTCTTGCTAGAGATAGAGCACACACTATGACTTGTGAATCTGTTCATGAGTACTTAAATTTAAAATGTAGATGAAGGAAGAAAATTGCCCACATACATATGCCAAACCAGATACCATAGAAAATATAATGTGTACCCTAGTATGAATATCAGAGAGGACAAAGTAGTTCACAGGAGACAAGATACAAGAAAAAGAACAGCAGCAAAATACCTTTTTTCAGATGTCTGTAGGTTAATATGAAAAATATATATAATAAGTAAACAAGGCTAATTTGACAGCCGTATTATTTCCAAATTGTTAAAGTTTTGCACATTAATTATTGGTATTTTTATGTCCCTGAGGATTTTCTAGGATCTTATTCCATGCCATTTTACCCCCATTCTGTACAGTAGAAGAATCCTTTTATGCTTATATTTAACTTGAAGATATTACCTGCAAATAAACTCTAGTGTTCAAAGTACTCTGCCCCGTTTTCCAGCTGTTGACCTGGAATAGCAACCACTACTACTGGCATTCTAATTTTTGTTATTGGTTAGTCAGTCGGGTCTGACTCTTTTTGACCCTATTTGAGGTTTTCTTGGCAAAGATACTGGAGTGGTTTGCCATTTCCTTCTCCAGCTCATTTTATAGATTAGGAAAACTGAGGCACACAAGGTTAAGTGACTTGCCCAGGGTCACACAATAAGTCTCTGATGGCAGATTTGAACTCAGGTTCTCCTGACTCCAAGGCTAGCACTCTATCTACTGTGCCATCTAGCTGCCCTAGTTTGATTTTAAATAAGGCTTATTTTCATAACACCAGTAGTTTTCATACAGTGTCTAGAAGAGAACTTGGGTGCTTTAAGAAAAATTTATTTTTCTATTTACCCTCTTTAATCAACCATCTTCACCAAGACTGGTCACTACCCTGTTATTAGATAGGAATGGAAAGAAAAGGAAAGAAGGCAAAAGAAGATAATAAATCTTCACATATTCTTTACAATGGATTAATCTTGTTTTTAGATGATAGCGCCTATCATCTCCCTGTAACTCATATACATATATATTGGTTTTACAAAAGTTTTCTTCCCTTAAGAAAGCATGACTAATTCATACACAAATGCAATCTATCATCCCCAACTCATTCTTTAGTCACCCAACTTCTTTGAATGGCCTAGCAGTGAACTTGATTGTGGCCTTTTCTTAACAGTAAGGAATTGGTCCTGTAATCCTTTAATACTGTGTCTTGTTCAGCTGTTTCCCTAGGGTAGCATGTAATTGATTTGTAATAGTTACCACAGCTTTAAACATTTCCTAGTAAATTCCCTAGGAAAAATTCCTTAGTAAATCTAGGAAGATAGGTGTAAATCTGTGTCCACAGTCAAAAAAGGAAAATTGGCTTAGACCTTTGGTTGAGTGTCTCTATTGGTACCACTCAAAGCCATTTAACACTGGGTAGCTACAGCTAAGCAATATGGGATTCTCTTATTATATCTTTCACCCATAGGCAAACCCCCATCACTTTCTTTATCCCTAGTTTGTCCCTAGCACTCTAGTAATAATAGAATCTAATAAGTATGAGAATTTGAACTTGAGAGCTAGCACTCTTTCTACTATCCCAGATTGGTGGTAGTATGTGGAAGAGAGTAAAATTAACTATTCTCTGCAGATTTAATGTTTATTTTCATTCAATATGAATGACTTTTTACTTATTCAAAAATGTAATTTTTCATTTTTTCTATCAGAAAAATATTTTCTCAGCAAACTTTCATGTGAATTGACTAATAGCTTAAAGGAGAAATCTCACTGCCACATGCTGTGGAATTGTACTATTTGAGAATCACGTTGGGGAGTAGAAAATGTCCAAAGAGGTCTTCAGATGCTACTACTCAGGAAATTATTCTTACTGAGATAGACCAAGGGACCTTTAATGACAAGGGTATATGATCTTAGTAAAGTGAATTTTTAAAACTGCGAACCTAAATGAGTTTTTATTTTTATACATATAATATAAATATATATTATATTATATATTATATGTTATTATATTTTATATATATATATATATTCTTGACTAACATCAGAATATTTCAAGAAATAGACTTATATTTTTTTTTGTCCTTTAACATGAATTGGGGGAGGGGCAGTGAAGGAGGAGGGTAGGGAGAAGACTTGAAAACTGGTTTATAGCCTTTGTTTTTTCCTTCCCATTTTCTTCATTCTATTAATTTAATTGTCTTTGATGTGATATTTCACTTACCTTGTTTAATCCATTGACCACCATTACTGTAACCAAACAAATATACAAGGTAGGTCCTGTTATCTTTTACCAGTTATTTCTCTTAGGTATTCTCCTAGCTATTGCTTCCTATCATAATAGTTCAAGGCAAGAGTTCTTAATCCGTTGTTAAAGTGTAGTTGCAGTTAATGTCTTGCTGAAATGTTTTGTAAATCAGGGCAGAGCGTACTCAAATGGTTTTTAAATAGGTTTTTATATAGGCTATTTAAATAATCAAAAATCCTTGATTGAATCATATGGAAGCCTTTTACCTTTGAAACATTAGGTAAAGGAAATATCACACAGGTTTCCTCAGTTTATACCATTTAATAAGCACAGTTTATATTTACAGATATTTTAGTTCTTGTGTATTGTACTTTTTAATTAAATAAGTGGAGGTATTTACCCCCCTAGCAGTAATACGTAAGAGAAAAAGAACTTCAAAAAAATCAGTGTAAAAACTTTGATAAATTGTCACTCATTGAAAATGTATGGGGGTTTTTCCTGAACCAAATGATACTTTGTAAAGAAGCATCATTTGGTTCAGGAAAAACCCCCATACCTTTCCCTGAGTGACAATTTACAATAGTGACTTTACCATAGTAAATTCTGCTCCAGTGTTTTATAGAAGACAAAGAATTTTGGACTAGAAATAGCCAATAATTTTGTAAGTAATATAAGAGATTAAATTTGAATTTTAGTTTAGTTTAGTGGCATGGACCATAGAAAAGCTAAGATTCTAAGGAGCTGATTTATAGTATTATGTTAGATTAATTTGTTATTGTATTAGTTTGGTTTCCTTATAGATACTAATTTTAGCAGGAACCTATATTAGATTCAAGGAATATGTAATAGAAAGGTTATTTGTCTAATAACCCTTCTTTTTCTTATCTCGTTTGATGAGCGTTATCATTAAGTAACTGTAGTTTAAATTATTTGGAATATTTTCATTGGTATTTTCATGAAATATTAAGTTTATATGCAGATTCCATGCTCTGATTTCTTACACTAAAATTTGGGATAAATTTCAGAAATTTTTGTAGTATCTTGCATTATATTTCTGATTTGTAAAATATTTTTATTCATGTAATATACTTATTGTGAGAGTCTTGTAATAATTTTTGTAAAAGCTGTTAATAGAAACAACCTTCTTGGCTATTTATACTTGTTGGCAACTTATTGAAAACTTTGTTTATAAACTTTGGGCCGTCTATTCTATTTCTGTCCTATTTGTTCTCTTCCTTTAACCTTTAAAGAGTGATGTACACTTGCTTCCAAATGTTGATGACAGTGAAGATGGTGGTGGTGGTGGTGGTGGTGGTGATGATAATGAAGATATTCCAAGTTTTGGGTTGATATATTAATATAAAATTAATTAAACCCGAATTTAAAATTTATTTTGGAAGGCCTCTGAGACCTTTGAAAGCTATGGATTAATTCTAAAAAGTTTTTCTTAGTCATGATTTGTAGTTTTGAAAAACTATATATAGAAGTACAGATATTTAATATTTCTATTTTCTAATGCTTGTTATATGTATGTTTTTTTCCTAGATCTTCCTCAGAACTGTGATCCTAACATTCCCCTAGTTGCTCAGGAATTAATGAAAAAGATGATACGTCAGTTTGCAATTGAATACATTTCAAAAAGTGGTAAAATTCAAGAGAATAGAAATGGTTCAGTTGGACCAAGTCTAATATGTAAAGGTATCCAAATGAATCAAATAGAAAACTCCCTTCAGGAAGAGCAGGAAGGCCCCCTAGACCTCACTGTGAATCGAACTCAAGAACAAAATACTCAACAAGGTAAGACTTTTGTTGTAATATACCCTATACTAACATGTAATTATTTTAGGAATCTAAAATTTTTTTTATCTTATTCTCCTTTACTCATTTAGAGATAAAACACTTAATATATGTCCAACTCCTACTTTCCATAGTGTGTAGTAGAGAGAATTGCAACTGTAAAGACAATGCTAAAACCCTCATTTTAACTATTAATTTGGTAAAAGAATGATAGTCTTGGGGCAGCTAGGTGGCCAATGGATAGAGCTCTTGGAGTGAGGAGGACTTGAGTTTGGCCTCAGACACTTGACACTTACTCGCTGTGTGACCCTGGGCAAGTCACTTAACCCCAAAAACTTCACCAAAAAGCCAAAAAAAAAAAAATGACTGTGATAAGTCTCTTTCCCAGATATTCTGACCAACCAGTGTCAAAATTAGTTTTATCACGTATCACCTCTTCTTTCATGCTCTAAGAAGAAATATGACCAAAAGCAAATAACTGATTAGAAAGTAAGAAAAAGCTTAAATAATTAGCATACCTGATAATGAACGATCAACATGTACATGCACTGTATTAAGCACTGTTAATTTGGAATTTTAAAAAAATAACTAAAAGATGTGCCCTTTGCCCGAAGGCTGTTTAGTTAGGAATATAGGGGGAAAAAAACAACATAAATGGAAACAATTATATATCCAACTATTGAGAAAGAAACCAATAAGAATACTGAATTGATGTGGGCCAGGAATGCTTAATAATGTTTACAGAAAGGGATAATCATAGATTTTAGCTTAAAGGGGCCCTAGAGATCATCTGATACAATCCTCTCCATCCTTATCCAAGGATAAGATAACTGAGGCCCACCGACTAGTCCAAGATTTCATAAGTTGTACGAGACCAAACCAAGATTCAAATTCAGGTACTTGTGATTATAGATCCACTGTTCTTTTCACTCTGCTTTATTGCAGAGAGAGCCATCAGAGAGCCCAAACAATGTAAATAGTAATTTTCTGTTTTGGCCAAAAACCCTGAGGGTCTCCCCCCTTCCTAATTGATTTTTTTTTAACTAGGTAAAAGAGGCTATTCTCTGCCTCACTTCTTACCTAGCCTCAATCACTGAATGGGCATTGCCTTAGTCAAACTAAGACCTGGTAAAGACATTGGCTTAAGAAGGCCAAAGTCTCCCGTTGCATCCGGGGTCATCTCCAGTCATCTTGATCTGTGTATCACCACTGGATCCAGATGGCTGTGGAGGAGAAAGTGAGGCTGGACTTTGCGCAGCCCTCCCTCATTTAAATCCAATTCACTTGCAAGTCATGGCGTCACCTTCCTGATGTCATGATTCTCTTCAAGAATGAAGGACAGACAGCAATTGCAAAAGAGAGAGTTTGTCATGAAGAGGTAGAACATTCCAGATGTGTTAAGGATAATTTTGTTTAGCTAGATCAGAAGGTACAGTCTGCCATGGAGAAGGAGATTGGAATATTCAGAAGGGGAAAAAAAGCCTTAAAGACATGGAAACTTCTGGGGATTTTAAAAGACTCTTAAGAGAAGTATTATCAAAAAATTTTTGAAAAGGTGTTTCTCACTGCTTGATTTTTTAGTTCAGATGGAGTTGGGGGAGGATAGAAAGGAAGGATAGTCAAATACTTTCAGACATGAAGACTACAAGTTTTTGGGTTTTTTTTAAGAAGCTCATAAATATAATAGACATATCAAACTTGGTTATAAAGGATGAAGGAAAGGAAAAAATAAAGATGACTTCAGCTAATGCATTGTGAAAAGAAGATAGTAGGACTCTTAGGAAGAACACTTTACCTCACTCCTACCATGGACTGTATTTAGCTCATTAGTCAGAGCGGAAAGAAGAAACACGTTATGGAGCCAGTAAGGAATAGACAAGCCTGTATGCTTGTTCTTCCCACCTGTGGAATGAGGGTACTAAAAAGATTACCTTTTTACACAGGATTATGGCACAGAAAGTATTTTCTGTAAAGTTTTGTAAAGAGCAGGGGACCATCATACTCCCCCTCTCCAGATGCATAAAATCAAGATAATATTCCCTGAAGTAATAGAAGATAGTTAACATGTTTTAGTTTTATTTTATTTAGCTGTAATTTCTCCAGTCTGCAAAATTCAGTAATCCCTGTTTCCTTCAGTTATGCCTTGTATCACATGAGTTTCAGACCTTTCACCATTCTCTGGCCATCTACAGATGCTCTGTATTTATTAATATGCCTCTTAAAATGTGGTGTCCCTAACTGAATACAATATTCCCAACAGTTGACTAGCACAGAGGTGTATAGTACAGGTATAGTGGAATAATAGAGGGGAAGTTCCCAGTAGGTTAGACTCTCAAGTAATAATCCTTCCAGAGAGCTCTTGTACTGTTGCACCTCTTGTATGGATAGATCTGAGAGCCATTAGCATAGTAACTGATGAGATTACCTAGTGAAATAACAGAGAAGATAAGAGTATTCAGGACAGAGCCCGAAGTATATTCCACTGTTAAAACACAAAACTTGGATAAAAATTCAGCAAAGCAGCAGCTGTTAGACAAATAGCAGGAAAACCAGGATAGAGTAGTATCACAGCTTCAGAGAAGTCAAGAAGGATGAGGATTGAGAAAAGGCTGTTTGATTTGGCAACTAAGAGATCATTAATAACTCTGGAGAGTGGTTTCCATTGAATGAGAGCTAGACTGTAGAGAGTTAAGAGAGTGAGAAGTAAGAATGTGGAGGCATTGATTATACACAACCTTTTCAAGGAATTTAGCTACAAAATGGAGGAAAAACATGGAACAATAGTGTGGATGGGCAGATCAAGTGAGGCCTTTTTAAGAATGAGAGAAACATGGGCATATTTGTAGTAGAGAAGCACGTAGTAGACAAGGAGAGATTGAAGGTAAGTGAGGGACTGGAGATAATAGAGGGGGCAGTCTGCTGGAGAAAGTAGGATGAAATGGGATCATTTATGTATGTAGAAGAGTTTGTCCTAGCAAAAAGGGCTACTTGTGAGAGGGAAGTGAAGGGAAAAATTATGGCAGAAGTCATTTGGGTGATTTGCAGTGCAGAAATGGGAGCTCTTGTCAAACGGCCTCAGTTTTTTCAGTGAAATATGAGGCAAGATTCTCAGCTGAAAGAAAGGGGAGGAGAAAGAACCATGAGAATTTTCAGGAGGAAGAAAAAGATTTTCAAAAGCTGCTGTAAGGGGTAGCTGGGTGGTGCAGTGGATAGAGCACTGGCCCTGGAGTCAGGAGGACCTAAGTTCAAATCTGGCCTCAGACACTTAACACTTACTAGCTATGTGACCCTGGGCAAGTCACTTAACCCCATTGCCTAGCCAAAAAGAGAGAGAAAGAGATGCTGTGGTGAGTGAAGTGTTAAATTAATTGGGGAGGTAAAAAAGAATTTCCTTGCTGCAAAACAAGGGCCCAGTTGAAATTATGTATTGGAGCTGTTCAGCATGGTTTCATGATTTTCTCCAATTTTGTTTAGTGGAATGTAAAGGATAAGGGCAAGATCAACCGTAAGATAAGGGGGCAAGGGACTCAAGACAAAGGGACAGTATAGAATTGAACTGGTTCACCAAGAGGTCGAGATGGGCAAAGGAAAAGATTGTAGCCAGCGCAGCATCTGTGGCCCAGGAAAGAACTGAGGGGTTGAGTAATTTGAGATCGCAATGAGATTGAAGAACAAGATTTGGGGTTTCAAGCAAAGGAAGATGTAGAATGACAACCTATATTAATCAGATAAAGAAATTTACAGTTCATGAATGTGGAAGTGGTGCATTTATGGGTGATAGCAAGTTTAAGAATCTCTGTGTGAAGCTGAGTTTAGGGTGCTTCAGGAAGTTTCAGTCTGTGCTGAAGTCCAAGTATCAGGTCAGGAGTTAGGGAGAAGAGAAAGACTGTGCATCTGGCACTGAAATCATGGGAGACAAAAAGGAAGTACCTGGAAGTCATTAGACATCAATCAGAATATTGGTTGGATGCTAGATAGGGATTGAATGAGCCTCAAAGGAGGAGAGAATGATAGAGGGGGAAGGAGAGCCTGGAAGTGGCAGTTTTGTGCAAGGAGTATTCCAACTCTCCTGCCTGGACCACCAAGTGGGGGTGGGGAGGAATGAATGAAAGTGCTGGAAAGAGCAGCCAGGTGAAGTGTATCATCAGGATGGGAGCCAAGTCTCAGTGAGAGCCAGAAGATGGAAGGAGTAGGAAAGGGAACATATTGCTGGATTTTGAGCAGTTTTTCCAGTGTCCTTCTACATGTAGTTGTTGATTTTGCTAAGGAAAGTATCAAGTAGATAAGTGTGTGTGTATGTACACACACACACATACACACACATACACAAATACATATACACTTATATTAGTACATTAAGAAGCTAAAATTTTGTTACTGTGGGTATTCCTTCTGTTGGTGAAAATTGGAGCCCTTCTGCATCCTAGTAGAGACTTTGTTCAAGAAATGACCAAAAAAATATTCAGCCCAAAAATACATCATCCTTTGTTCTTCTGGTGATAAACCTTTCCAGACTTAGCTCTGCAGGCTTAATTCTTAGGCATACAGTTAATAAGTAGCAAAGCTATTTTTCAGGTTTTCTGATTTCAGCTTATAGAACATCATATAATCAACTTAGTTTTCAGTATCATAGATGGGAACCTTGGCATTTAATAAAAATCAATTGATCATACACTTAATTGAGTAAGGGCCATGTAGCTGTATTACTCCAGAATAACTGCTTTTGATCTAACAGCTATTTTCAAATAATTTTAGATTTTGCCAAACGATTGTTATCTTCTTACATTCATTTCCTTTACCTTCCTCTGATGAAGATGACAAAATGTAATGCGTGTAACAGTAAAGATAGCTTATATACAATAAATACCTTTTAAGTTTTGCAAAGTACTTTCATGACTTCCTTTTGTGAATCTTGCAATAACCCTGAGGCAGGTATTTAATTATTATCTCCATTTTATAGTTGAGACTATACAGAGTTAAATGACTTGGCACAAGTATAT